CAGAGCAAAAGCTCATTGATGTAACTTCTTAAAGGCCCCTGGCAGTCTCATTTGAGACTCACTATAAGAAATCAGCTCTTTGCTCCTAGGCATCTTTTTATCAGTAGAATCAGGACAGATTTTAAAAATCAAGTATTTGGATATATAAAGCCACAAATTTTCTAGAGCAGCTCTTTCTCAATCCTAACAAAATTCATACATTAACATAAGGCAGTGAAAGTAAATTAAATCTGAGGCTTGGACACTAATTGATGTGGTTTTAAAACTTTATTGTATTTTATAATTTGAAAATAAAGAAACATAGTATTTAAACAAACACCTGAGGATTTCTTGACTGAGTACAGTGTCTTCATATAATTTGAAAGAAGACCAAGTAAGAATCTTGTCTTATATAAGGAATAACACAGATGAAGTCATTTTTTAAACAGTTGCATTCGTGTGTAAAGAACATCTGGTTTTCTAAAAGAAAGTATACATCCTTGCCCCTGGTTATTGGCATTTATAACAAATGGTTAATACTTTTATAACTGATTCTCATAGCTTATAAACATTACATCAAAGTCATACAAAGTAATAACAATTAACACATAGCACCATTTCCTTTTGAACGTCAGAACTAATATATCTTTCAAAGTGTAGCAGAATCAATGGCTCAGAACTAAGCAAATTTATTAGCAACATTGCATAGTACAGAGAACTTCCCTGTATGGAAACCAATCCATAGATTGTTTCTTATCCCTGAAGAGTAAGTTGAGAGGTACTGGTGGTAAAAATGATGCACATTTAATTTTTTAACAAAATAAAAACATCTACCTATATACAGAGTTCATTATTACCTCTGTGGCAGTGTAAAGTGCCATATTCAAAAAGAAAAGATGTGTGTATACCTACTGGTATAGAATATATAAATATGGTAAAGTATCATATGAAGAATAAACATATCCAATAAAATATATCTTTTAAAATTTTGGACACAGATATCATCATATAAAGATGTGAGAAATGAATGCCTAGTTACCTGTCCAAGCTTAGCAAAAATATGAAAGGTTTTAAAATATTAAGTATTTTACTGAAAATTTTTAAACAGACTCTATCCAAACCACCCTTGGTGGTATAAATATCTCCTGCTAAAAAATCATCATTCTATCTAATTGATAATTTTAAAAGTTTATCAAAAACGGGTAAGAATACTTCATAAAAGCTTTTTTCCTTTAAATATGAGCAAATACAAAAGACAAATAATAAAAGAAGGGAAAATAATTTATATGGCTATTCCCTTTCTGGAAACTGATAGAAGACAAAGAGAACACCGAAGAGTATCAGACAGATAAAGTATCGGAGAAAGAGATGATATCTATAAGTGCACCTTTAAATTCTCTGCTGAGGAAAAATTCTCACAGATTTAATTATAAGTTGTGAGTCCCTGATATTTTTTACTTTGGGATTTAGCTGTTTTGGTTTTTCTGCTTACTACATGACGTATATGTGTAAATTGTACAATGAAAATAACAAAAAGAAAAATAACAAATTTCCACTTTGAAAATGCTAACACATCAAATGGTTCTTAAAGAAGTAGACTGAACTGCTTAGTTCTGTAATTCTGATAAAATACTTTTATAGGAACCTTCTATAAAACCGCTAAGAGAAGAAAAATACTTTTAAACATTATCAGTAAACCTGAGAATTATGTCCAACCTAAACTTATACATTTTTTTCAATTATATTTTCCTTCTTTAAGTTTTTCAATGTAGTAACATAACTTCAATGCTGGCCCCAGCTTCAGCCCCATATACTTCATTATCATATCACTCTTGAGTAGTAGCAGAGCCTTCCCATCAATTTCCTACAAAGAAAAGGAAATTACCATAATTAATGTTTTCATATTTGTCTATGAGAAGAACATGTACAAGAGTAGCTGAACATTCCAGATAGGTATTCCCTGCATATGCATTTATGTCCTTAAAACTATTAAAAATGTAATTTATAGCTTTCCTATGATGGCTAAACACCACACTGTACCCCATGATAGTATTAATGTACACAAACATGATTTAACAATAAAAATAATTAAAAAAAGAAAAAAGAAAAAATATATGTAATTATACAGTGAAGCATTGATAATTTATAAATTTACTTCTAATTGTAAGACAAAGGAAATTTAACCTTGCATTTTCAAAAAATATAATAGGCATCAAACATTTTAATACTATATATTGAATAAAATACTACATATATCTATGACAAAGAGTCAAAAACTATGAACAACAGAAATGAATTTCAGACAGTCATTAACTTTCTGAGAAGGCCTGGGAATATGTCAGCATCAATGCAACTGTAAATGTGCTATACGATGCTGTCTTTATGTTGAAAGCTAATAGTCATTTGTCTGAAATTAGATGCTAAAACTACTGATTTTCTTAGAATATTGAAAAAGGTACCTCAGATATTAGATCACTAATTTAATTTGTTAGAAAACACTGAAACTATTACTTAATTGTCACAAGGCATCCTCCTGAAATTCTTTTTTTTTTTTCAGTTTTTGGCTGGGGCTGGGCTTGAACCCGCCACCTCCAGCATATGGGGCCAGTGCCCTACTCCTTGAGCCACAGGTGCTGCCCTCCTACTGAAATTCTCTATCACCTTAATTGACCAATTTATGTCACAGTATTTGGTATCCGTGAGTTCCTGTTTAAAACAAAGCTGCATTTAATCTTTTTTTTTTTGCAGTTTTTGGCCAGGTCCGGGTTTGAACCTGCCACCTCCGGTATATGGGGCCGGCACCCTACTCCTTTTAGCCACAGGCACGACCCCATTTAATCTTAAACAGTTGCTGAATTCACTGGATATCATCAGAAGGAGGACACCCTCTTATAGCTTGTAGTCACCCTCATATTCATGGTCCTGAGACCCAGCTGGGAGCAGGTGGGATGGGAGGATCCTTGTATCTGTCATGACAAAAGAAGCGATGCTGCTCTATCATCATCTGGTAAGAACTTATGGCCGTTTGTGTATTAGGCACTTAAACATCCATTTTATTTATTAATTTTTTTATTTTTTGAGACAGAGTCTCCCTTTGTCACCATCGGTAGAGTGCTATAGCATCATAGCTCATAGCAACCTCCAACCAATCTTGGGCTTAAGTGATTCTCTTGCCTCAGCCTCCCAAGTAGCTGGGACTACAGGCGCCCACTACAAGGCCCAGCTTTTGTTGTTGTTGTTGCTGCTGCTGAAGTTTTCATTGCTGTTTTAGCTGGCAGGGGCTGGGTTCAAACCCACCACCTTCAGTATATGGGGTCAGCACCCTACCCACTGAGCCACAGGTGCCACCTTTTTTCTTTTTGGTAGAGACAGAGTCTCACTCTATTGCACTCGGTAGAGTGCCATGGCATCACAGCTCACAGCAACCCCAAACTCCTGGACTTAGGTGATTCTCTTGCCTCAGCCTCCCAAGTAGTTGGGACTACAGGCGCCCACCACAACACCCGGCTATTTTTTGGTTGTAGTTGTCATTGTTGATTGGCACATATGGGCTGGATTGGAACCTGCCAGCTCCGGTGTATGCGCCTGGTGCCCTAGCTGCTGAGCTACAGGTGCCAAGCCTAAATATCCATTCTAAAAACAGACTATTTATCCACCATTTAGAATCTAACTTTGAGAAAAATAACCTTTCTTACATATGGAAAAATCAGTCAATAGGGTTCCCCCACCATCCACACAGTATCCATTTGAAGGGCCTGCACAGAGGTCAAAGGCATTATGGCAGGAAAACCGGATCAAAAGATACATTACATGTTGCCTGAAGAGGTCAGCGAGTGGGCCTGCTATTTGAGGATCTGTATGTTTCATAAACAGTATCACTTCATCCACAGACCAGGTTGAAGGGTCCTTAGAGACTTCTTGTTTCAGGGCACTGGGGTCAGGTACACCTATATAACTTGGATCTTCAATAGGGGGGAAAAAAGACAAATCATACTTGACCTAATTATTATCCTGAAAGAAGAAATGTTAAGTAGGGAACAGTGGTCTCATTCCTGGAATGTTCTGTTAAGTACCCCAGCCAGTACTCAAGACTCTAACCGTAAAATCTAGTAAAAGCCTATAAAAAGATGTGAGGATGGCTACAGCATTCTGACAATTTAGACAGAAACACCATCTCCTTTAACTCAGCAAAGACATAATTTAAACAGCAAAACAATTATTGCCAAGGCGAACCCTATCTATAAATTAATTTACATTTTTGTGGGATTTCTGTTTTCTTTCATCAGCATCTAGCATGTCTGGAATATGATGTAACTAGTTTTACAGATTACTACAGATAAACTATATATAAAGATATGATTTCTAATAGAACCATAAGATTTTCTCTTTTTAGACTTATAGAAAAATAATTTAATTGGGCTCATACCTTCAAAACAATCAGAGAAGTCTATAAACATTACAGTTCTGTTATTAGAATAATTGTATGAAACAAATTAATCATGTGAAAAATAAAGTCTAGATATGTGTTTCTCCTGAATGGCTTTGCTTTCTTTATGCAGGGTAGTAAATACTGGGATATTAACAAATATTTCTGAAATAAATACAATGAAAGTTATTCCTGCCCTCCCCCGTGTTATTGGATTTCTATCCCATAATAAAGGTTAGCAATTTCTTTCATTCAAATAATGGGGCAGGACAAGATGCTGTGTGAGCATTACTGGCTATTAGGAGTAGGTTCAGTGTTAAGTAACAGTTCCAACATCTTAAAGAAAATAACAGTAATGGTATCTCTAGACCAGGGGTGAACCTTTTTAAAAATTAAATACACAAACACTAACAACATCTGATTAGGAAAAATAAATATGGCCTGTGCATACTCTTTGTGATACCCAACACCACAGAAAAGCAAAAAAAAAAAGTCTTCACAAAATCAGCATGTGGCCTGTGGACCCCAGGTCGGACACCCCTGCTCTAGACAGTTTTCAAGTGAAATATTTACCTATTCTCTGGATATGCAGGTAGCACAGGAGTAAAGAGTATGGTCCTAGAGCCAGAGTGTGGGTTCAAGGACTGGCCTAGCCACTTTCTAGCTGAAGGACCTTAGCCAAATGACTTCAGATTTCTCACCTAAAAATGTTTACCAGCATCTACATTTCAAGGAATTGTTATAATGATATAACATATGAGGCCATATAAGATATTATGTGCCTGGTACATAATTTCAGATAGTAATGAAAATTATTAGGATTTCTATTCTCATGTAATACCATTGTTACCACTAAGTTACCATTTCTATTACCAATTAAGTAAATTACTAGTAATTTTATTACTACTAGTCTTCCCATTGCTAGGAAGACCAAAAGTTAGCCTTCTGAAGCCCAACACCAGGCTATTTTGGCATGAACGTGATTAGGCAAACATCTGGAAATAAGATGTTCAGCATTAGAAATAACCTTGTAGAGCCTTTTACTAAGAAGACCTGTCTTTAAAAGGTCATACTTTGTGAAAATACTTAAGAATTCAGGGTATACTACCCCTTATGGAATAAGCACCTTTCTTTAGACTTTCTGGAAACAAACAATGTCATTCTAAAAACAGAGACAATCTACAAAGAGGGGTGGAGGATGAGATAACATTGTGTCACAGCATGTGCATAGCATGGTTGACCATAGATAACATCTGTGGTGAAAGGCAAGAGAATTATTTGGTTCCTACTTCCTTCACTCCTCAGCCTTGCCTAGATGACTACTTGGAGGAAAGGATGAAGTACTTATTCCCGCCCTCACTCTTCTTCATCCTTAATCCTTAAAGGGCACAGGGTATTAGCCCTGTTTGTAATACATATTACAGATGGAAGACCGGTCTGCCTCTTTCCAAATGGCAACAGGATACTGCCCTGTTTATGCGTGCCCCATCTTCCTGGTAGATCTAAGGATGTGGACAATGTGGAAATGCTGTGGCTATACCAACAGTATGTCAAAGCCCAGATCTAGGGACCACATGCAGGCTGGGACCAGGAAAGGGCTCAAGAGAAAGAAGATACACCAGAAAGAGGGAGTGTGTCTTTCCAGTCCCCAGAGTCATGGGAAGTTTTTGAATCTAGGTAGTACCAAGGAAATGGTAAATTACAGCTGTTCAAGAACCACTAATCTGAGATAATCTGAAAAGTTTCTATCAGAGACATAGTTGATGATCCAGATCCTCAGAGAAGAGTTCTGTGATGCCATGAGGATTGGAGCATCCCTCTAACAGTAAAGTGAAAGGCAGGACCTGTCCTCCCCAATTTGAGCACTTTCTCCAATGTGATACACTCTCAGGGGATACTGTTGGGTATGCAAACCTCAAGGGGAAAGACAAAAATAATGGTTTTTAAATATACCTTCGTTTTTCTTTGGCATTTGGAATGTGGTGAATGATGCGCTCCCCACTAGTGGTGAACCTGAAGTGACTGTCATATTTTCAGAATTATCTCTGGAGACTGAAGTAGTAGCATGCATAATACTTCCACGGGCAAGACGCAAGGCACTTTCTGAGTGTGTTGACAATTTATCAGAATCTTCAGAAAGCTTTTCCTCTTTTGGCATGCCATCTCCCTCAGGATGTATTTCTTCTTCTACAGGGAAAAAAACAAAGAACGTTATCTTCAATAGATTTGCAGCTCACATATACTATGAAAAGGTCGAAAATCCCATCCCCAACAACAGTTCACTTAACTGATGCTATACTGAACCACAAACATCTAACACCAAGAACATGGGCCATCCCTTCCTTGGCATTTATACCAATGGACACATTGATTCTATGAAATCACCTAGATTTTTCATGGTAACTTACTATCCCTTGCCAGTCTTGCTACCAAAGCTGTGAACACCTCACTAAGGCATTCATTTTTAAGAAGGCAGTTCTTCATGACGATTTGTTATTATATGATCATACTGTTGGTTTCTAACATTTGCTTACTAGCTGGGCAGTTAACACTTTTACTAGGTTTTTCTATTTTTCTTCTACCAGTTTCTGGCGATACAAAACTGAATAAAAAAGGTTGTTGTGATTATTTTTTATCTGAGTAGAAATGACAGCTGTACACTTCTGAAAGGACTGAAGTACTCAACAAAGCTGCCAAAGTAGCAGCCTAACTGCCAAACTTATTTGGGCAAATTCGTCTCCCTACCCCTAATACTACCATCCCAAGAGTATATGTATGTGGCAGTAGAAGAACTTTTCTTCCCAATCCTGGGACATGTAAATGCCATTTACCTTTAAATGTATCCATCAGTGGTTTGGGAACCTTAGGAGAAAGAGGAACCACAGAAGACAGAGGTTCTTCAGCAGATCGTTTCATGCTTTTCTTTTCTAATGTACCCTCTTTTGCTGCTTGTTTAAAAAAAAAAGGGTTCTGTTATAATGAATTATATACTCAATAATTTTCATATCATCAATATGAAATACTTCTGTTTCTAAATAATTTGACTACCATAACTTTATCAGTAATTTGTCAATTATCTGACTGTTCACAAATAATGTGTTTATTTCATCCTATTAAATATTTCCACTGAAATAATATTCAAGGATTAAAAGCATTTCCAGAAGGAGTATGTCTAGGATTTTTTATTCTAGGCCATCAGATATCTCTAAATACTTCAGAAGACAGCGAGGCAACCCATTATAGTCTGTCTAAAAAGGGTTGGAAAAATTGTTTCCATGAGCTAGAGGATTTAAGACTTAACAAAAGTTAAAAAGACAGGGTATAAAGGATACACTCCATTTTTTAGACAATAATCTTGGGCTAGGGCTACCCTTATAACTCTATTGCTTAACTTATCATTCAACCAAATGTAATTCTACCTAAAGGATCACTCTTTAAGCATGATTGTGAAAATGATTATAATTTGAATTATCAATTATATCCTAAGTATCAACATTATCTTGGTTTAACCTCCAACTAAAAGGACAAATAAGGTATAACAGAAATCTAAAAATTCTGATAATAAACCTCAAAAGGGAGGAAAGACTGCAAAGATGAAGTACCAAAGTCAAGCTTCATCTGGTTCAAAATTTTGGCTGGGGGCACTGAAATCATATGATGAGCAACCTTCAGCAATCTAGTAACTGAATGAATACAAATGTAAGTGGCAGTAGAAGAACTTTTCTTCCCAACCCTGGAACATGTAAATGGCATTTACCTTGGAATGCAGACATCATCATCGGTGATTTGGAAAACACAGGAGAAGGAGGATAACAAGGCATAAACGGCTTAAGTTGTTCAGGAGATCCTCTGATGCCTTCACTTTCTGATATATCCTGTTTTTCTGTTTTTTTTTAAAAAATAAAGGTTATGTCATAACGAATTATATACTCAAGCTCTTACTACTTGAGTTTTATTTTTAATCATGGACTATAAAACCAACAGGCAACACATATGATGCATGACATATATTTCTATAATTAAGATGTTGAAATTCCAAGGAAAGATATACATTATAATATTATATTTTTATTCACTTAATAGTATGGGAAATGCTAGTGCTATAGTATAGTTTTCCATAGATATTTGTTTCTTCAAAATCTTGGCAATATTAGAAAAAGTCTTTACGTATCTTTTATTATAATATACTAGTGCTTTCTTTTTGAAAAGTTTAGGATGCTGCTATATGCTCTACTATCTGGGGCTGGAACAAACATAAAATTAACTACTGACTTCTGCTTCTGGGTTTTGTAGTAAGCTAAGGTAGGAACTAAGCCTATGGTACTGACACATACCTATAGTGTATGTCCCTTCTGTAAGAATTAGGTCAACTTAAGGAGGGATCAACTATGGAGGTTCTAATGTATATATGCACCTAACAACAGAACTCCAAATATATGAAGCAAAAAACTAATACTGAAAGGAATAATAGGCATTTCAACAATAATAGTCAGACTACCATACCTCACTTTTAACAATGGATAAAACAAGTAGGTAAAAGATCAACACAGACATAGAAGAACTGAACAGCACTACTAAACAACTACATCTCACATATATCTTTAGAACCTCCATCCAACAAGAGCAGAATATATATTCTTCTCAAGTGCATACGCAACATTCTAGAAGAAAGACCATATGTGGGATGCCATAAGTTAAATCTTAATATATTCATAAGCATTGAAACCATACAAACTATGTTCCTCAACCACAATGGAAAAAAATTAAGAGTAACAGAAACAAACCTGGAAATTTAATGAATAAGTGGAAATTAAACAGTACACTCCTAAGTAAACAATGCATAAAAGAAGAAATTAAAAATGAAATTTAAAAAATTCTCTGAAAAAGGGCGGCTCCTACGGCTCAAAGGAGTAGGGTGCCGGCCCCATATACTAGAGGTGGCGGGTTCAAACCTAGCCCTGGCCAAAAACTGCAAAAAAACCCTCTGAAATGAATGAAAACGTAACATAGAACTTACAGAATGCAGTTAAAATCTGTGCTTGGGGGAAATTTATTGCCTTAAACACCTATGTTACAAAGAAGAAAGCTCTCAAAATCAGTAATCTAAGCTTTCTACCTTAAGAAACTAGGAAAGAAGAGCAAAATAAATCATAGGAAGCAGAAGGAAGACATAATAAAAATGGAGAAATAAAAAACAGAAAGATAATAGAGAAAAATCAATGAAACCAAAAGTTGGTTCTTTGAAAAGATCAATAAAACTTAGAAAGTTTTAGTTATATTGGCCAAGAAAATAAGACAGAAGACTCAAATTACTAAAATCAGAAATGAAAGTAGAAAAATCATACCTTACACAAATAAATAGAAATATATGAGAATACTAAGAACAACTGTATGCCAACAAACTAGATAACGTAGATGAAACTGAAAAATTCCTAGAAATATGTAAACTACTGAAACTGACTTAGGAAGAAATAAAAAACCTGAATAGATCTAAATTAAGTAAAATTACCAAATAAGTAATCTTTAAAACTTCTTACAAAGTAAAGCCCAGGCCCAGATGACTTTACTGGTAAATTCTACCAAACATCTAAAAAGAATTAGCCCCAATCCTTTGTAAAACCATTTAAAAACCAGAAGAGAACATTTCCAAATTCAGTCTGTGAAGCCAATATATTACCCTGATGCTAAAGCCAAACAAAAGACATTATAAGAAAGAAAATTACAGATCAATATCCCTTATGAATGCATAGAAAAATAATCCTCAACAAAACACTAGCAAACTGAATCCAATCACACATGAAAAGGATTATACACCATTATCAAGTGGGACTTATCCCAGGGATGGAAGGTTGGTTCAAGATATGAAACAGCAATATAATATGCTGTTATTAACTGAATAAAGGACCAAAATCACACGATCATCTCAATAGACATAGAAAAAAAGTACTTGAACAAAACTAAACACCCTTTCATAATAAAAATTCTCAATAAGCTAAGAGCAGACCTGATAAAGAGCATATATGAAAAACACAAAGCTAACATAATGCTTAATGGTAAAAGATTAAATACTCCTCCCCTAATTAAGATCAGGAAGAAGACAAAGATATCCACTCTCATCACTTCTACAATACTGTACTAGAGTGTCTAATATCTAGACATGGTAACTGGTAGGAAAAATAAATAAAAGGCACCCAGATTGGAAGGGAATAAAAAACATTTCTATTCACAGATGACAGGAATTTATATTTAGAAAATCATAAGGAATACACCACACACAACTATGAGAATAAATGAATTCAGCAAGATTGCAGAATACAAAATCAATATAAAAAGCCAATCATATTTCTATACACTTACAATGAATAATTCAAAACTGAAATTAAGAAACTAATTCCATTTACAAGAGTATGAAAAGGAGTAGGGACAAATTTATTGAAAAGAGTACAAGATGTGTTCTCTGAAAACTTTAAGACATGTTTGAGATAAGGACCTAAATAAATGGAAAGACAGCCCCCATGTTCATCTACTGGAAGACTTAATACTATTAAGCTGGCAATACTTTTCAAATTGATCTACAGATTCAACATAACCCCTATTAAAAAATCTGAGCTGGCTTCTTTGCAGAAATTGATGAGCTGACCCTAAAACTCATATGGAAATGCAGGAGACCCAAAATAGCCAAAAATAACCTTGAAAAACAAGAACCAAGTTGGAGGACTCACACTTCCCAATGACAAAACTTACTACAAAAAGCTACAGTCATCAGCCTATCACAATAGACATATAGATCAATAAAACAGAAACAGAATTGAGAGTCTAGAATAAGTTAATACATTTATAGTCAATTGATTTTTAACAAGGATGCTAAAACAAATCAATAGGTAAAGTTTGTCAATAAATGGTGCTAGGACAATTGGATATTCACATACAAAAGAATGAAATTGGACCCCGACTTCACAAAATATACAAAAATTAACTTAAAATGAATTGATGACATAAGTGTAAAAGGTAAACTATAAAATTCTTCAGAGAAAATATAGGAGCAAATCTTTGTAAATATGGATTAGGCAATGGTTGTTTAGATATGACACTAAAAGAAAAAGTAATAAAAGAAAAAATAAATTGAACTTCACACAAATTAAAAATTTTTGTGCTTCAAATAACACCATTAAGAGTGACAAGACAGCCCAAAGAATGGGATAAGATACAGGTATCTGCAAGGCATGTATCTGATATGGGAACTGTATCTAGAATATAAAAAGAACTCTTACAATTCAACAATAAAAAGACAAAGGACCCACTTAAAAATGAGCAAAGGATTATTCTTTAAGCCTACAAGCACCTAGTATATCCACCTTGGTCTGCTATCCAATACTATCCAGTCCCAACCCAGCTTTGCACATTCAGGGTAGTATGGTCATAGACTGGTCAAAGAAGATACATGAATGGCCAATAAATGCAATAAAAGATGCTAAAAATCAGCCCTTAGGGAAATGCAAATCAAATCATAATGAGATGCTATTTCATACCCACTAGGATGGCTATAATAAATATGGACAACAGTAAGTGTTGACAAGGATGTAGACAAACTGGAACCCTCATACACTATGGATGGGAATGTAAAATATAATAGTATAGCCTCTTTGGAAAAGTCTGTTGGTTTCTCAACAAGGTAAATCCTGAATTAACTATGTGGGTAATTACCAAAGTTTTGAGATACACAAAAATCAAGAAATATAATACCCATGGGGATAGAAACAAATAAAGCCCTTCCAGCAACACCAATAAGTCAAACATGTTGAACTTACATAGGTGAATCAGAAAGGATGCTGTCAATTGTGTTTCTTGAAAGTGAAATAATGGACCATAACACTGTCTCAAAACTTACACACAGTGACCTACATGTATGACCCAGAAATTCTACTCCTGGGTTTATACCCAAAAGAACAGAGAACATGTATCTATACAAATAGTTGTACACAAATGTTCACTGCAGCAGTGTTCCTAATAGCCAAAAAGTAGAAATAATCTAAAAATCCATCAAATGATGAATAAACCAATTGTGAGATACCCATACCACAAAATATTTATCCATAAAAAGAAATGAGTAATGCTACATGCTACCAGATAGATGAGCCTTGAAAACATTATGTTAAATGAAAGAAGCCACACACAAAACAATACATACTGTATGATTCCATTAATATAATGACAGAAAGTAGATTAATAGTTTCCAGAGGGTGAGGAGAGGAGAGATTGGAGAATGTTGGAGTATGGGATTTCTTCTTGGGGTGATGACAATGTTCTGGAATTAGATAGTGGTGATAACTCTGTGAATATACTAAAAACCACTGAATTGTATTATACTTCAAAAGGATGTAATTATGGTATATGAATTATAGCTCGATAGTTATTATAAGAAATGCATCCTAAAGGTATAGCAGTCACAGGAACTAATAAATTCAAATTCCAGAGAGGGAAGAACCATTGTAGTTTAAAATGAAGATTTCGTCAAATGTTTTTCCCTGTGGGAATTTGCTGATTCTTGGCACCTGCAATGAAAATAGCATGAGACTCAGGCAGAGGGCTCTGCCAAGTAAAAAAAAAAAAAAAAAAAGATTTAGCTGCAAACCTCTAAAGGCCGAAAGTACAATTTCTGGGAGAATGCCTTAGTCCAGGGGGTCCAATGCTACAGTAAGCTATGATAGTGCCACTGCATTCCAGCCTGGGTGACAGAGCAAGACTCAGACTATTAAAAAAAAAAAAAAGGTACAATTTGCTTTCAGAGGTAAGGAGTTAGAGAATTGCCAGGGTCTCAATCAAAAGCCTGGGAGGGTAATACCTGAAGAACAGGAAAGAACCAGAGATAAACTGAGTCTTATTAACACAGCAATTCAGCCCCAATGCAGTTTAATCACTAATTGGAATGAGCCCTCTCTCTTTTTGCATAAAAAAGAAAAGAGGAAATCCTCTCAGGTAGAAATCTGGAGCCTCTGTAGATCTTTTATACACAATGTTCAACTAACAAAAAAATAACAGACTGCAAAGAAGGGAGAGCATATAACCAATAATTGAAAGAAAAACTACTGCTGTCAGCAACAAGAACTATGTAATTTTGATCAATATATTCAAGAAAACAAGAAAAATGGGCAGAAAAGATCAAAGAATCAAAAACTTCACCCAATAATTAGAATCTATTAAACAAAGAAGCAGATGGTTAATAGGGGAGAAAAATGAAGGCAATCACTTCGGACAAAAACTCTTTGGCAGTATCTGCTAAAGCTGAACTTATATATGTCTATGACTTAGCAATTCTACTCCTAGATAAAGAACAGAAAGGCATACATATTTCACCAAAATACACATACTAGAAAGTTCACAGTAATACTACTTATTAGGGCACAAAACAGAAAGTACCCAAATGGCTCCATATCATGGGGGCAAGTCTATACAATACAATATTTATTTAAACATAGAATATCTCATATTTATACAATACAGCAATGAGAATGAAGGATCTGACTACCTGCAACAATACAGATAAACTTACAAACAAAAATGTTGAGCAAAAAGAGCGCTAGACGCAAAATAGTATATGCTGTATAATTCTTTTTTAAAAAAAGTTCAAAACCAGGGAAAAATTAGTATATAGCACTAGAAGTCATCAGGACAACAGTTATCCTTGTGGAAAATGAGTAGTAGTGTATAAAGAAGGGTGTTTAACATTAGGATTGCTTCTACTGTACTGGTAATGTTTACTTTTTCAACCAGAATCTCGTTACAGAGGTGTGTTTGTTCACTTTGGGAAAACTAACCAAGTTGTATTATATTTTGCATACATTTTTCTCCATGTATGTTATACTTTAGTAATTTTACCTTAAAAATGACTACTGCTAAATATGAAAAAATGAATGTCAGAACTGAAGTCTCCTAAGAAGAGCACTCTGCCTTAATATTTTTAGACACTTACTCAAAAGATGAAAAATAAATGGAATACTAGATATGAAATCTTAGTAAGAATCAACTTCACAACATTTATATGTAATTTCTTTAACTATAAACTGACTTAAGAAAAGCATAAATGTTCCAGTTCAAAGCCATTTTCAAATAGCTACGCTCATGAGTGAAAACTAATAAAACCTAAAAATAATTTATAATAATATTATTTACTCAGTGTATTTTTTCAAGTAGTTGTCTATTCCAGTTATTTGGCCAACCTGAAAAATCATTGTGTTCAATTTGAAAAGAATTACATTTTCTGTAAAATCTTTCAAAGACTGGAGTTATATAAATCACTAGGTCTCTTAATACTTTGCGCAATAAACCAGAAAACTGTACTTTTCAACTTCTCTTAACTCATCCCCCCCCAAAAGTTCTTAGAAAAATCTATCAAATATACATACAACTCTCTTCCTACACAGGCGGCCATTCCCTTTCTACCCATCTTCCAATTTTCCTACCATTTTTGATGATCTCTCACCTCTTAAGAAGGAAAAAAAGGATATAACATCATATAAGAGCATGAACTTTTACTCTTCCTCTTAGCTCTGGCAGCTACCTTTTTTATTGCTTCTATTTCATGCTAGGCTTTGCAACCTTACTTTTAATCTCACAACTCAAGAGGTATCCACTTTGTAGATAAGGAAATTGAGACTCAGTCTTGGTACTTTGTCTATGGGCACAAAGCTAGTTAACAGTAGGATTTCGATTAAAATTCAGGCCTAGCAGACTTCATGCCTTTTCAGTATATAGATTATAAGGTCAGCATTGGAACCCAAGTCTGACAAACTCCAATACCTGTGCTCTTTCCATTCCACTGCCTCTTCATGTATACTTTTACACAGATGTCATAGTATCACAACTTTATTTTTAAAAGATTCATTTGGCAACTACCCCAAAGGGGAGAAACTGGAAAAGGGTTTCCAGTTAGGAGACGACTTTACCAAAACAAAGAATGCTTTAATAAGGTTCTGAAGCTGATAGTGACCAAAAAATGGAAAGGAGATGAATATAAGAGATCTCACTTAAATACAGGAGATAAGGTTTATCAGGGAAGGTGTGGAGGAATAGAAAAAAAAAATAGAGGGAACTTAAGAAGAGATGGTACTCAAGCTTTACATTTGAGTGGAATGCAAATGAGAATACCTAGACTTAAACAGAGAGTCTGTGATGATACCCTGTGTTTCCAGAATCAGCATGCCCTGGCTGGAAAACCATGAGGATACAATACCTGAGAACTTCAGGCACTCTTAAAAGATCCACACATAATCTTGCCATGGTAAGTGGAACACAGTTAGCTTTCATGAGTCCGATGAAAAAGGGACAAATCTCTCCCAAATAAAAAAGAACATTTAAGTTCAAAGAGCTTTCTAGCTTCAAAGATCAGAAGCAAGAAATGGGCTTTTGGTTCTACAGGACTAGACTATCCTCTTACATAGACAGTAGGTTGGAGTTCTTATGGAATAGAGGCAACCATGGCTTAAACATTAAACTTATGTCACTCAGTTGTCACATCTCTAAATGTAACAAAATCTTCATCTTCACAGCCAATGGATTTAACATGCCTTGCTAACTTTTTAAGATTATAAAGGTCAGTAACTTTAAAGCCACATCTTAATCTAACAGAAAATGTGTAACTCTGTGAGCTAGTCACAAAGATGCCAAACATAACCCACTGGCTTTGATGTTCAAATCTATTATGAATACAACAAGAAATTACCTTCCCGTTTTTTTAATGAACAGCCATTGATATATAGTACACATTTCTAATGAGTTCATTATGGCTAAAGTGTTTACTTCGAGGACACAAGATTCTCATGTTAAATAGAAATATAGTGTAAAAATTTACATTTTCTCTCACCTTGTTTAACCTCTTGCTCCGCAGGGGTAGAAGCAGAAGTAGAAGGACGCTTATAAGAGCTAAAAGGCTTGCTGCTCAAAAGGTTAACACACTCCATGCTGTGGCAGAGGGTCTCAAGAAAGCGAAGAGCAAATGACGCACTATTCACTGGAGGGAGCTGAACGGAATGAGTTTCCCCATCAAAAGAGGCTATTGGAGGAAAAGAAAGGAGCCACAGTCATCTTACAGAAACAAGAAATACAACATTAACAAAAACTCCCATTAATTTAGGAAATGTCTTATAAATCTAATTTGTAGTTTTTGCAATTCACAAGGGAATAATCTTAAATTATAAATTATAAAGGGTTCCTCTCATTCAAACACAATAGCCTATATTGATAAAAACATTCTCATTGAAAAATATTCATGATGTTAACAAAAACAACAGAAAGTCACTGATTTATAATACTTGCTTCTATTCCAAACATTCCATGGGTACAAATGTCATGGCATCTGATCAAATTATCATAGAAAACACCCACCTGCATCTTATCTCATAATGACTTCCTAAGTCACATTTTTATTTAGAGCTTCTTATAGATCAGTCTATTTTCTATAAAAATTAACATATATTATCAACTAAGGTATTAGTGAGCTTAAAACATCAAGGAAAAGGAAAACTGGCAGGCCCATAGTTCAGTGGGTAGGGCACCGGCCACATACACAGAGGCTGACAGGTTCGAACCTGGCTCAAGCCAGATAAAACAATGACAACTGCAGCAACAACAAAAAATGGCCAGGCGTTGTGGTTGGAGCCTGTAGTCCCAGCTACTTGGAAGGCTGACGCAAGAAAATCGCTTAAGCCTGTTTGAGGTTGCTGTGAGCTATGACACCATAGCACTCTACCCAGGGTGACAGCTTGAGACTCTGTTACAAAAAAAAAAAAAAAAAAAAAAAAAAAGGAAAACATCTGTACCTTTGACATTAATTTACAATATTACTCTGGCATTATTTGGTCTATTTTGAAAGTAAATTTTCCAAATCAGGGCTAAAAGTCTATAAACATAACTATTATAAGCCTATATAATAAATATTACAATATTATAGTTAACAGAACATAAATACTATAATCTATATATTATAAAATCCTAGCCTTCTTAATCTGTCATGGGATTGGTTAAAAAATAAAGTCCTATCCTTCTTGAAATCTAAACTCAAATTTGAAAAAAAAGCTGAATAAAGGATGAGCATACCAGTTATCACTTCTCCTCCACGATTATCTGGCTTAAGGAATCCAAAAACAATCTTAGACTGAAAGGCACAATCCACAAGGGCCTGCACGATCCGACGGAGAACCACATTCACTGGGCCTGGGCCAAAGTGGTCAGGAAGTACTTGGATTTTCCTTGGATCCAAGTAAGGGCCACAGTTTCCATGTTTGTTTATATAGACACAGACTTGAGGAAAAATATATATACAGACATAATAATGAGACTGATTAAAAGGAATTTTATGAAAATGCTACATAATCAATTACTATATCCCATTAGCCACTTTACTCAAAGAGAACCTAAATATAGTTACAATCAATGATCATTTCTACTACCTAAAAATAGGTAAGTATATTTTCAGATTCATGTAAAAATATTAAACCTGCAAAGAAACAATCAAAATATTTATTCAATTTTTTAGACTCTTATCCAAACTTACTTTAAAAAAAAAACTATAGAAGTTTTAGGAGCATCACCATTAAACAATTCTTCACACATTCCCACATTATATGAAATGGCATAAAGTTAGATGAACCAAAATTTCAATTTCAAAACTGGTCATACTGGTATACATATTGGTTGAATTTCTTTTAAATCTCCGATATCACACCTCAATTTTATTTTCTAAAGTAACCAAGTAATTTAAGCTATATGTCACAGTAACTTCTAATGATAGAGAAATTTGTTTCATTAAGTTTAAGAAAATAAAAATGTCCCTTCCATATATAAAATTTTTCCTTAGTGGGTTGGTGCCCTAGCACAGTGGTTATGGCGCTAGCCACATATACCAGAGCTAGCGGGTTGGCAGCCAGGCCAGGCCAGCTAACCAACAATGACAACTGCAACAAAAAATAGCTGGGCGTTGTGGTGGGCCACCTGTAGTTCCAGCTACTTGGGAGGCTGAGGCAAGAGAACTGCTTAAGCCTAAGAGTTTGAGGTTGCTATGAGCTATGACGCCATGGCATTCTACTGAGGGCAACATAATGAGACTATCCCAAAAAAATTTAAAAAGCTTTAAAACAAAGTTCGAGGTAGTTTTGAAAACACACATAATATAAAAAAAAATTTTTGAAATAAGATTAAGAGAAAACAAGAATAGATTTGACAATGATGTACATTTTCTTACTTAAATGCATAAAATACATTAAAGGTAAATGAATTTTCAAGTGCATTATATATTTAAACAGAATATTTTTCCTTAGCATCAAATACTTTAATATAAAAAATGCTAAAAGAAGGCCAGGCACAGTGGCTTACACTGTAATTCTGGCACTCTGGTAGGCTTAAGTGGGAGAAGCCTCTTAATCATCAGGAAGATCCATTGAGCTCAGGAGTTCCAGATCAGCCTGAGCAAAAAGGAAATCCCATCTCTACTAAAAGTAAAAAAAATTAGCCAGGCATTGTGGTGGGTAGGAGGCTGAAGGAGAGGGATCACCTGAACACTAAGGAGTTTGAGGTTGCTGTAAACTAGGCTGATGCCACGACACTCTATCCTGGGCAACAAAGTGAGATTCTGCCTCAAAAAAAAAAAATGCTAAAATAAATGTTTACTATTATCATCTTTTTTTCTCTTATTTCCAGGATTTCAAAGACACTGGAAATAATACAAAATAAAAGATTAGCAATTTTATACTCTTTTAAAAATACTAATTTACCTGTAGACATCACTATTTTTGATGACCCAACAGAAGCATCCCTTTCAGATGAATAGCCACGCTCTCTGGCCAGAGAAGCTATAGAAGTTGCAGATGTAGAACACATCACAGGAATAAATTTCTCCTGTTTAAAAAAAAAGGGGGGAGGGGAACACAAGTATATACCAACCATTAAAATATACTTAGGTAAGGAAGTCAGAAAGTTATAGACATCATAGGCTTGCAAAATTATCAGTTATCAGAAGTCCTCAAGGTTGGAAACACCTGTGTCTGTCATGAACTACAATACTTTCTAAACTGAGCTGTTCAGAAGCCCACAAACTATCTAGGTAGGGGACAAAGAGACCAAAATGATTCGGTTTCTCTACCCTATTCCCTGCTCCAACCAATCACTCCTTAGCCTAATTAGTTTACTCTGTAAAACTTATTTTACTTTGTGCTCCCTGTAAGACAACTTTTATTCACACTGCTAAAGAAAAGTCTGTAAATCTCTAACCCAGAGCAATCTATCTAACAGAGAAAAAAAAAATCCCAAAGTGAAAATCAGAGCTTATATTTAAAAAGCAGTTGCTCACTTAGTCTTCATTGCATCTAGCCTGCATTTCTCTACATTCATACAATTTTGGCAAAATTATAAGTGGCTTGTAGAAGTCTATACGAAATTATGCCTACTATATAGAAGAACCAAATGTCTACTGAGCATAATTAGACATCACTGATGTTTTATTTTATATCAACTCTTGGGGTTTTGTAGGAGCTACCTCCAAACATGACTCTCTAATATCAACTCTTGTGCCTAGAAAAGGTAATAACAGAGGACATTTATTAATAAAAGACTGGAACAAAGGAGCAAAAATTAGGATAACACTCAGTATTATTGAAATTTATTTTCTTAATAATGATTGTCATTTGCATTCACAATATTCTAGTAAATGATACTATTTTTTTTCTGTAGAGACAGAGTTTCACTTATAGACCTCCGTAGAGTGCTGTGGTGTCACAGCTTACAGCAACCTCTAACTCCTGGGCTTAGGTGATTCTCTTGCCTCAGCCTCCCAAGTAGCTGGGACTACAGGCGCCCGCCACAACGCCCAGCTATTTTTTTGTTGCAGTTTGACTAGGGCCGGGTTTGAACCCATGACCCTCAATATATGGGGCCGGCACCCAACTCACTGAGCCACAGGTGCCGCCCTAAATGATACTATTTTTAAGTAATGAAATATAATTATTGTGTTAATAATCTCTTTCAATATTTAAAAAATCTGAAATTGAACAAAGGTATTTATTTAGAAACACTGAAAATTGATCAAAGGTACACATATATAGAAAATGTACTTCTCTACTTCTAGAATCCTTAAGGAAAGGTAGAAAATGACAGCTGGCAAGGAATGAGTCTGTGGCAAGAAAAATTTTTTACTTGAAAGACGTTGAATAACCAAACTATGAACACAGAAGTACTAAAACAAGGATGTTGAGTAACTGCAAGAAAATCTTCATCTTTTCATGGTAAAATAACGAAGCTAAAGAAGATAAAGTGAACTGAAATGCTGTATTTGAAACAAAAAAATTAGAGTTTATTACCAAGTAAGATTAGAGTACCTGTCTCTTTCTCCCTCCCACCACTAAATACTGTTTTCAAAGAGATCTCTTAAAAATGATCAAATTAGAACTGAAATCAGAAAATAAAGGAGTCAGAAGAAACTGTTTGGAGTTATAACTTTACCATTATGCCAACTCATCACAAAGAATTTTTTCAGCAGCTGGAAAATACACACGCATGTTAATTTTTTAAAATGCATTTAACATATTTCATTTTAAATTTCACTTATTAGCTTTTAATTTTATTTTTCATTTAAAAAATTGCATCAGGAAAGGAGGAGGAGAGAGGGGGTTTGATAAGCTGTCACCTAATGGGCACAATATAGGGGTATATGGCACACCTCCAAAGGGCTCAACTACAACTTGGACCTTACCTAACAAACACAATGTAATCTAATCATATGTGCCCTTATACTAATCCAAAAAAAATTCTGGAACTAGATAGTAAAATAAATAAAACATTTCATCTGATATGATTTGTATTAGAATAATCTGGTATTTTTCAATGTTTACAACTTGTATATATTTGAAATACATAGTTTAACTGGGTTCTGATTTTTATTTTATAAATTTTAAATGTTTTAAAATAAGAATACAGTATCAATATAAATATTTTTAATCAAAATGCTGTTATTTTGTTCCATACTGTAAACAGTAGTTGAAACAAAAATAAAATATTGTATGCCACTGAAATTTAATACAGTCAGCCCCAACAGATCTGAGAAGATTCTGTATATAAATTTAGAGTGCATCTCTTATAAATAGGATATATTTGGGTCTTCTAGAAATCCATTCTGATAATCTTTTAATTGGAGATTTTATTCCACTAACTTTTAACACAATTATCAACATGTTTGGGTCTGGGTCTGCCACTTTATTTTTGCTTTCTATTTGTCTCCTCTGTGTTGTGTTCTTTTATTCCTCCTTTCCTGTCTTTTTAAAAATTATCTGAATATTCTTTGAATATTTTCTACTAATACCCTGCTTCCTCACATGCTACACAAAGTATACTTGACTCAAGGCTAAAAACCACAAAAATGGAAACTCATTTTGTATAACACTCCTTCTCTTAGTGTATACTCCCCCTGCCACCAGAATCTGTCTGCTTCCATTCACTCTTCAGTATCTTCAGGTAGTTAAAGGTAGGTAGGATGTGACTCCAGCATTACTGAATGTATCAAATTGATTCCTACCCTTCCTCCAGTTTATTGAGGTATAATCTACATACAGTAAAATCCACTTCACATTGATTTTTAAACTATACTGAGTTTTAAATTAACCATCACCCACGCAGTACTTTTACAGAAACAGAACACTACAAGAAGTTTTAAATTTATCCAAACAAAGAAATATCAATCTCTCAATAGCTATGTGAGACCTTAAAGAGACTAGGTACTCTAGTACATTCCTACATTCCTAAGGACCCTCATCATACTTAGTAAATTCCTGAATTGTATGTTATAAATACACCATAAAGACCTACAATATAAATTAGTAGGAGACACAACTAACCTTTTTCGCTGAGGTTACACCTTTTTTCTTTGGTGTGACATTTTTAAGAGAACTGCCCTTTTGGGTGACAGAAGTACTTCCAGATGCTTTAATTCGACCTGACCTCCTGGGCAGCTGTGCTGGTGATGGTAGAGCAGTTTTCGATGAAGACTGCATTGAACGCTGGGTCGCTTTGGAAGAAGACTGAGTTTTTCCTGTATTCTTTGTAGCAGAAACTGAGAACAAAACACAACAAAAAAATATTAAAGTAAATGACACAGTTAAGGTATTGTCTTTTTTGGGGGGGGGGGGGCAGTCTCACTATGTTGTCCTCAATACAGTGCCGTGGCGTCACAGCTCAAAGCAACCTCCAACTCCTGGGTCCAAGCAATTCTCCAGCCTCAGCCTCCCAAGTAGCTGGGACTACAGGTGCCCGCCAGAATGCCTGGCCATTTTTTGGTTCTAGTTGTCACTGTTGTTTGGCAGGCCCAGGCTGAGTTCAAACCCGCCAGCTCTGGTGTATGTGGCTGGTGCCCTAGCCACTGAGCTACAGGCGTCTGTCTCTATTCCATTCAGCAAATGACTTCTACTTTACGATAAGATAAATTGCTATCTTTTGGGAGTGGCCTTAACAATCCCATTTCTTCATCTTGAAATAATTTTATTTTCAATCATTCTCATCTTTTTTCTGTTGTGTCAAAAAGTTTTCTCTCTACTTTTCTAAGTCTAACTTCTATTTATGCCTTAACATCTATCTTCTTTGGTTCCTATGGGATATTGTGGTTTCAATTATCTCTTCTTTCTTCAACATATTTAATCACTTGATCCTCAACTCCTAGCTCTCTCTTACAACCTTCACGTATCTCTTATTTTGAAATTACCTCACTGTTTCTGGTCTATTTCAAGCCTTTGAGTGAATTCCCTCCTCCTATTACCAAAATACCAAGAAGAATCACTTAACCTTGATACTTCAATTTCCTTATGACTGTTTCTTTAGCCCCTGTAATAAGCTTTTCTTCCCTCAAACAGATTCTTCTTTCTTATTATTTTTTTTTTTTTTGAGACAGAGTCATTATGTCGCCCTCAGTAGAGTGCCATGGCATTACAACTCACAGCAACCTTAAACTCTTGGGCTCAATCAATTCTCTTGCCTCAGCCTCCCAAGTAGCTGGGACTACAGGCACTCGCCACAACACCCAGATATTTTTTGTTGCAGTTGTCATTGTTGGTTAGCTGGTCTGGGCAGGGTTTGAACTCACCAACTTCAGCATATGCGGCCAGCACTGTGCTATGGGTGCTGAGCCTCTTAATTTGTTATTTTTGTTTGTTTGTTTTGTTAGTTTGTTTTTTTGAGAAAGTGTCTCACTCCATCGCCCTGGGTAGAGTGCTGTGGCATGCAAAGCTCATAGCAACCTCAAACTCACGGGCTCAAGTGATCCTTCTGCCTCAGCCTCTCAAGTAGCTGGGACTATAGGTATTGGCCACAATGTCCGGCTATTTTTTCATTTTTAGTAGAGATGCAGTCTTTCTCTTGCTCAGGCTGATCTTAAACTCCTGAGCTCAGGCGATCTGCCCACCTTGGCCTCCCAGAGTGCTAGGATTATAGGAGTGAACCACCATGCCCAGCTCCCCCAAAATGTATTTTAAAGAAATTCTATTCCAAGGTAGCTAATGACCTAGTTATCAAATCTAAATTAATATTCATTCTCTTGACCAATCTATTGATCTCTACAGTTCTAGTCCCCTACTCTGAATACTTTGAAGAAGAGGAATAGATTGGGCTCTAGATCTGGGTTCAAATTCTTATGCCAGGTTGATTTATGACAGGACCTACGAGTACAGGAAATCTACAAAAAAATATTCACTGAATAAATGAAAGATATTTTCAGCCTCCAAGTCAATGCTATACCTCCTAAACTAGTATATTCCATATAGAGTAAGTAATTTAACTTTTTCTAGGATGAGTTTGTGAACTTAATTGTCAGACTACAAACAATGACAGCTCTGATGGCCCTTCCAAAATTCCTTTGAAGGGTAGACCAGGTACTGGTGTTGGTACATAGCTTCCCAAGAGAAATACTTCAAAGGTGAACAAGGTGATATTCACCAATGAGGTATATAGCATTTTTTTTAGTATGACTTTGTGAACTTAATTGTCCAACCTCATATTACATATCAAAATTAAACTCCAAAGAGTAATCATATAACATGTACACACCATGCTAAAACTCCATTAGTATTAATTAAACTATTTGAAATAAAAAATGGATTAAAGTGATAAGGTTAAAGCTGTATATAGCACTATAACTGTGTATTCGCGTAAAAATTTTTGAAAAGTTACATAAAATATAGAGAAGGATATCATCTTTAATAATAAAATTTTTACATAAATATCTTTACAAATTTTATCTGCCTCTTCAGCTTAACTTCAGACAGAACAGAAAATATTCAGGTAAGAAAAATGTCCCAAGAAATAAGAATTAACAAATTGTGGAAATGAAAAGAAATATTAGGAAACAACCTAGAAAGTAAGAAATAAAACCAAGAGGAGCCCTTGGAGCCCCTGAAGCCCAGCACAGGGGAAATTGAAGAAAGAAAGGAAAGAGATGCCGGTATTTACTGGCTACATATTACATGTTAGGCATTTTAATACCCATTACTGCATACCATCCCTCCAAACATCCTATGAGGTAGGTATTGTTTCCCTACCTTATTCATGAAGAAATTTAAGTTCTATGATGTCAGGCAACTTAGCCAAGAGTACCCACTTGGTTGAGAGGAAACGCATGCTTTCTCCAATATCACACTCTACTTTCTAGTCACTAACAAAAAAAAGCCTGTCATCAAATTCACTCCCCTAAGTCAAGCAGTATGTGTTTAAAAGAAAAAGAAAGAATGCCTAAAGGACAATCCTGTGACTCTGATGTACTGTTTCAATATATAACCAATAGCCACTCTCTGAAAGAAGTCTTTTGTTCTTTAAAAAAAAATCCAGATGGGGAAGCATAATTATAACGAAAAAAACATTAACAAGTACAGTAGCCCCCTTCATCCATAGGGGATACATTCCAAGACCCTCGGTGAATGACTGAAAAATGCAAACAGTATTGAACCCTATGCACACTATGCATGAATTTCTTTTTCCTTCTTTGCAATTACACAGAGGGAAGATTTATTCTTTGAAGAGACCTTAGCAACTTCAGCATACAATTCTTTTTCTTTCCTTATTAGGTCAAGAATTTTTACCTTTCCACTTAAAGAAAGCCTGGTGTTCATATAAACTCAGCTGTACTGCCCAATACCTCTGCTTGGAACTTCGCTCCCTATCCCACAGTACCCTGGTTGCCATAAACTGATCAGTCATGAGGAGCAATAACAGCAAAGGGGAGGTAGGTCAGGTATAAATTTCTGAGTTTCCTTCATTCATTCCTGCTGCCATCTCATGCCATAGCACTTGTTTCCTTGACTAGTGTCTTTAGGCACTGCTACATTTCTTCTTTCCTCTCCTCCTACAGTACCTGTATCAGAGGAGTCACCCATCCCATCCCAGAAGCCAAACCTTGTTCCAAGAATTACCATATTTTGCATGTATAACATGCTCTCATGTGTAATGTGTACCCACGTTTTTGGCCCAAACTTTCGGGGAAAAAAAAAACCTTTAATTTTTTAATTCAAATTTTTATTTATTTATATTTAGGTAACTGTTTTTTGTACTATAAAGAAATTTCAGCATTTATTTTTTAAGATATTATGGTGCAGGAAATTTTATGTATCAGTAATAAATATATATTAATACACATCCGTACTGTCCCTCAAAAATTTGGACAAAAAAAGTATGCACTGAACACGGCAAAATACAGTAAATGTTTATAACAGTATAAGTCTTCTTTTCCCCGAAAATAGTCTTTCAAATACCCAAGGATTGTTATTGTCAAGTAAGAATGTCTTTACCTTTCTATACGCTTAGTAGGAGTGTTTTAAATGTATGGTTATTTCCTTATTTTCAGCAATAAAAAAATCCCTTTACAATATCTCAAGGCTGAGAAAAACTCTTGAAGGAAACTACAAGGGAATAGTTACTAGCAGAAACTGAAACAAGGAAGCAAGTTCCTGGTATTTAGCACCTCAGGCATTTGGAAGTCAGAAACCAGATGGAAGACTAAGGATTTTCTCAAAAGATACCAGGCATAGACAGGATGGACACAGGGCTCTGGGACCAATTGCTCTTTATAATATTCCTTCCCCTGATTTTCACTATCTAGTGCAGGAACATTAGTTCCAGATTAATTAGGTTCAAACCACTTTCTCACACAATATTTATGTGGTTTGGGGCAAACTGTTTAAATTCTGCCTGTGGTACAGCAGCAGTACTACCACCATCACCATTCCTGCTATTCCTGTTTGAATTCTCACTCTGCCTTCCCAAGCCCTGAGAGTATTCCTTGTCCTCTTTATCAGTGGATTAGAGATTGAGGAAACCTCCCAAATATTTCCCAGATGTGTTCTTCATGCCCATCAACTTGATTTAGGACCTCATGATCTCTCACATAAGCTACAGCATTAGCCTCTTAATTGCTAGTCCTGGTTGCCCTTTCCATGCCATACTTTATAGTATGTAACCATGATCTTTCTAAAATACAAATTGTATATCACGTTTGCACTTAAAAACTTTCATTGATGCCACATCACTCGTCTGCTAAAATCTGAATTCCCTCGCCTACTGTCCAAGTCCCTCTCTACTATCTGCCCTCTGCATATCTCCACAGCCTCATCTATTCCCCATCTATCATTATAGAGTCAGCCATAATCATCTATTTCAGGCTCCCAAACATTCTGATTCTTTCTGCTTTTGTAGAGACTGATCCTTCTCCCAAGAAAGGTCTTCCCTCCCTTGCCAATAACTAAAATATATAGATTCTCTGAAATTCTGTTCAATTAGTAGCTCTGTAAAATTCTAAGCTTCCTAGGGAAACATAAGATCCTGAAGCTCATGCATCATCCATACTGTGTTTCTCTCTACTGGCATCTTATCACATCTTATCTTTACTTGTATATTTAGCTGTCCTACCACACTGTGACTTCCCTTAGGAGAAGGAAGCATTTTAAGCGCCACTGTTGTATCTCTAACACTTGCTATAGGGCCCACCACATAGTGTGCATCCAATACATGTTTACTAAATAACTATTTAATATCAAAGTTTTGTTTCTGATCTTACATTCTTATATAAACATTTTA